CCCCCAAACAGCAGTAAAACTAAGCGCTCGTTTCTGAATGTAGCCGCCCGCCTCTATCCAAAATAGGCCCGCAATTTGGAGCTATTTGTGAAAGAAATACCGGACCTGGAAACTATCAGTCCCAAATTCGGGATTTATAGAAACATTTCTATGATGCCTCCTGATTATTGCATGTCTTATTGTAAACACCCCGTTTGATCACAAAATATTAATGAGCTCGCGCGCAGAAATACAACCATTTGGTGGAATATCGGCCTGTGTCTGAATGCTCAGACATGTAAATTGATGCATTTGACTTGACGCCAACTCCCCAAACCAACTTACCACCTTGGAGGTTCTGAACTGGAGTGCGTGAGTTCCATGAAGCTTCTTGGTTGCCTGATCCAAAGCAATTTGTCGTGGGATTTGCACGTCCAAGATATCATCTCCAAGTGTAACAGATTAATTGGCCCGATTCGTCTGGTATCGGGCAACTGTCACTACAGTAAGTCTCTGCATCTTCACAAGACCCTCGTCTTGCCGATATAAGACTATTGTTCAGCTGTGTGGTGGATTCACCGTAAAAAGCACATCGACTCAGTTGAATCTGTCCATCGCAGAGCAAGTCGAATGATATAGCAACAGAACTATCCGAAGCAGAGTTACAACGACAGATTGCACACCCTCGGTTTCATCACCCCTTTTAACAGAAGAATTTTCTTAAAAACCAGTTTTCTTGCCAAGCTTCTTATGTCTCAGAGGGTAAATTTTATGGTTGACTTTCTCAACTTGTTACTGGTTAATGTAAGGCACAATGACAAACTCACTTTTCTTCACTTAAAACCAAGGACTGATGCTTACAAATATAGTGCAATTGTTCGTTTTCCCAAGATTTTTCTGAACCTGATATGGATACCAGGAACAGTTTGATTTTAGAGGGCGTGGGGAGGTTTCGTTCACATTTAAGGGAGGATCTGCACAATGTCAGTTGAATTTTCACCTCATTCTCACCTCATCAGTCTATTTCTAATGTTTCTTGGTTTATTTTTTAACACAGAATATTTTTGTATTGTGATTTTTATCCCCGTTTTTATCAACTTCATGTATAATTTCAGCATTATATTTTGGATTTTGTCAGCAATATCTTTTTATTCTTGACTTTTTAAAGGTCCTTTTCAATTTTAATTCTGGCTGTTGTTCTTTCCGCATGTTAACCTATTTTTGTGGTCTGCCCTATCTCATCAAGTAATTCTTTTTCCGAAAATCTACTTAGTTAGTTTTTCTTTTTATTGTATTGTGTTTCATATTTTTATATTTTTCGTTTTAATTCAGTATCCTTGTTCTGGAACTCTGGAGTTTAATTTTCTCTATTCCAGGTATTTCCCGTCTTTTAATCATGTTTTGGAACCGGGGTCTGATCTAACACATCCTCTGATGATAGTTTTTATACTTTTATTTGACCTTGACAGCCCCGGTTTCCATTTTTAATTCGCTTTATAATTTATGTTTAAAGGTGTAAAATAAATAAATAAAAATAAAAGAAGAAATGGACACGAACACGATTCGTGATTATGAATGAGCATAAATCGTCATGAATCCCTGAATTCACTGTATTAAAATCTAGAAAACTGCCTTGTGGGTTCTGCACCTGCCAAGGAAATGAAAAAAAAAGGGGGTGAGGAAAAAATCCAAAAGTTATGCGGTGTTGACCAAGCGTTCAGGTGCACGTACTCCTGAAATTCGCAAGGAATCGCAGTTATTAGGGTTAGGGTTACGGTTACGGATAGGGTTAGTGTTTGGGTTAGAGATAGGGTTAGGGTTACAGATAGGGTTAGGGTTAGACATAGGGTTAGGGGTAGGGTTAGGGATAATGGTTAGGGATA